GTGGGAACGGCCAAAATTTTGAGATAGCTTGTTCTCCAAGAGTGATCTTTTGATTTTTCTGCAACTCGACGTTTAGGAGTAAAATCGGATCACAACCTCAAGACCATGATTCTCTCATTACCTATTTGGCCGGTGCGCAAAAGTCTCCTGGAGACAAACGTAAAACCAGCTCTAAAGCCAATCAATTGTGGGTCCATATTACCAAAAGAGGTGGAATTGTATCGAACAAAGGACGCTAAAGTGTATCTGGCCTCTTCAGATGACCTCGATGATCGGATTCTGGTCGATCTCAATGTCCCTCACCGAAATGTCTATTCATACATCTTCGAGGACGTCGACTTCCCTAAAGAATACGACGATCAATACATGGTATTCTTAAAAAGCATACTTAAGTATGAGAGAGACAAAACCTTTTACGGAATTACTCGAGGTCTGAGAGATAAACGTTGTTTTCCTACTGTGAACAAGAAGAGGTTGAAGAAGATTTCCGATCTATACGATTTTGGAAATTACGTTTTTTGGGCTTTGTTCTCGAACTCAGACGTCTTCCTTCACCCGGATCTTTCCGAGTTCGCGTCGACGTTATCAACTGTAGGATTCAAAAATCGGATAGATCAAGCAACGTTCATCAAATGCGCGGAGAAAATCGAAGAATTTCAAAATCAACGAAACCCACCGTCTGATTTACGCAATCGAGGATCTGTCCTGGTCAACTTTCTCTATAAGAACTCCAATATCATCAAGTCGGAGAGCGTTGAAAGGATTCCGTTCGTTCCAGTTGCTCAGACATTAGATAATCCTTACAGCCTATATTACAAACCTCCTCGAGTTCTGAACTGTTTTAAAGAGACAATCCTTCCAAGATACAAAGAAGTTGCGTGGAGTCAAAAGTCCTTGATTGCAGAAGATGTCGTACCTCCCTTGCAAATGCTCCAAATATATCCATCACTTGGTAAGCCGGATGCTTTTACAGTGGTCGAACATCTCAGATTCCTGCGCGAAAAAATTATGATTGACGAAGAGTGGAAAACAAATTGGGCGGATACATTTAAATATAATGTCTACGAGGTTTATAAATGGCTTGATGAAGAATCTTTAAATGAGGACATCAATCTGGCTCACTACATTACTCAAAACGAACGCTTATTCCTTAATTTCAATAAAAATCTGAATCCATTTGATGCCGATAATTGGGTTTCAGCAAATGATTTGGTTTTAAACAGTGAACCGGGAGAGAGGAAATATGTCAACCCGGAACTTGCTAAATACTCTAACATGCTGAAAAGCGCAAACGTTCGAGAAATAAAGCCACCAAACGTCGAAATAATTGTTAGACAACACAACCAATTGTATTTCAACAATAACGCCATGTTTGATTTCCTGCTAAATCAGGAACAAGCTATTCCCTTGCATGACGTAATTTTCAACGTAAAAGGCGAAATGATAGGGACCAGTCGATATATGCTTGCCGCAAGCTCAATATTTTTTTATCGGAAATTCACTTCAGGAGAGTTCACCGCGGAAACAAGTCCAATCAATCCAACTGTGATAATTATTGATGATGTGGATCCAAACTCGGTGCGTATCTTGTTGCGCTACCTGTATGGTCAAGACATCAACGACGCCGTTCAAGGTTTAAATGGCAATGACGCAGGATCCCTGAATATGCTTTCATACGTGGACCTGCTTAAATTGGCAAATTATTACGAGCTGGACCATTTGAAGGAACTGATGGAGCTGAAGCTCTCGCGACTGGTCTTGATGTCGAATGTGGTATATTTGAAACGGTTGTCAGAAGACTTGAAAGCCAGCCAACTTGAAAAATATTGCAACCAATTCATTCTTGACCACGAAGATTTGCGATAATGATTGAGTCTTGAGTATCCTTTAATACGAGTTTTGAAGTTTTATGTATCATATTGAGAGGACGTGACGTGAATAAATGCATAAGTGCGTATATTTAAAGTGAACATTTCATTAATTTGTGTAATTGTAGATAAAGAAAATAAAATCGTCATTGTAGAAAAAGTTCTAAATACGTAAAGTACATCATGGATTCGTGATTTAAAAGTTAATGTAAATATTAGTATGCTATCCTTCCTATCGTACCATTAATAGAAAGAAATTGTTCAAAGGTAGGGGTCGAAAAAATCATGTCTAGCATTTTTGTTGCCTTCAAAAATAATTATCCATATGGAGTATTCGATTCAAAATATTTGCCGTCATAAAAGGAATTTATTTAAATGATAAAATATTTTGATTTTTTCTTAAAAAAAAAAAATCCAACTAAAAAATACATAATAAAAAATCAAAAGTCGCATTTATAGCAATATACGACAACAATATTACTATTATTATTGAATTATTAAAAATTTTTATTCAGGACCAATAGTATATACAATATATCAATATTAATATTTAATTTAAATCAAGATAATTTTAACAAAAAAAAAAATTTTTTTTTTTTTGAATATTAATTCACATTGCTTTATTTATTTTAAAAAAATATAAAATAAAAAAAATTTTTTAAAATACTTTTTTATTCAAATTTACTATTAAATAACCATAAAATAATATAAAAATTTAATTTTAAATAAATTTATTTTAAGTTTTATTTTAAAATATTATTTTAGGTTTTATCAAAAAATTTTTTATTAAATATAATATCAATTGATTTTCATATAAAAGATTTTTATATTTTTAATTTTTTTGAATATTTGTAACTAGGCTAGATCATAGTTTATTAATCAATTAAAAACATAAGTACATTGTTTACTCAAGTAGCATAATATATACTATAACCAAACATTCTTAATAAAATCTAATAAGCCTATTATAAGCAATAATAGTCTTTAAATTTGATCTTAAGAACAATACTTTATTTTATAATAAATTTTAAATAAATATTCTCTTAGTTTTTCACTTTATATCAAAAAGTTATTATTGCTTTATATTTTATTAAACTACTAAAATATAAAAAACTATAAAAAAAAAACAATTGAAAAAAATATATATATATATATATAAAATATATACTGTAAATATACTATAAAAATGAAAAGGATAATGGACCTGTAGATCAATAATACAATAGTAGAACTTCAAAGTTATAATTATAAAATCTATAGTTTAATATCACTTAAAAATTAAAAAATCATAAATTATCTTCTAATTATATTTATTGATTATCTTATAAATATTATACTCAATTATCTAAAACAAAATTAAAATCAGATTAGGTTATATAAAGATATGACTTTTAACTTTCTATTGATCAAAGATTGAGATTTACAGTCATACTATTGAAAAGATTGCATAAAAAAAGACTTCTGATTTAACCATTCATAAATACTTTAAGATCTTTTATCCCAACAGACTTCAGAACCTCCATTCTACTTTCCTAATTCAAAATATTTCAATCTGATATATCACTAATAAAAAATTCATTAATAAAAACTGATCTGATACCACAAATAATAATAAAGAAGATAATGTGCCTCCTTTTAAAATTTAAATGAATAATATCTAGATATATTAAAAAATATATAAAACCTGTTATATATATATAGTTAAATTAGTTTAATGAATATTAAATAAATTTAAAATTCAATACTAATTAATTGAAACCTATATTAATAACTAAATATTTGACCATTTAACTTCTAACTAAATCTGCTTAACTTGAAATATAAGTTGATTTAATTAGATCAGCTATAATAGATTATTATTAATTTGTATATACTGTATATAGGAATATATAATATATACAGTTGCTTTCAAAAGTTTGAGTCCACTTACTATGTTTTTATCATAAATTTTAATTTTGACAATTTTTAAATCCTTAATTACTATATATAACTAAAAATTATTAAATTTATATATGTTATATATTAATACTAGTTTTATTTATTATATTTTTTTTAAAAATTTTTGATATGTAATTTTTAAAGTTTTATTATT